CCACTTGAGGCAGCAAACTCGGGGTCCCTCCAACATACCTATTGCTGAGAGAAGCCTCCTCTTGAGGTGCTTCTGGAAAGTTGGCATACATCTTGAGCCTAAGCCAGGGATTCAGCTCTCATCTCGAGACGATTTGTGGTACACGGAGCATTCCTCGAGTTGCTGTGCTGAAGTTGGTGTTCCTCTAGTCTTGGGAGAGTGTTTGAGGGGCATCTCTGGAGTTGCCTGAAGGAAGTCTAGCCAGTTGTCTTGTTTAATGGGGAACTGGGGATGGCTCTGGAGTCAATGCAGGGGAATCGGGCCACATCTCGTGTTGATTTGGGGCACATGGAGCTGCTTTGCGTTGCTGGGGTGACCTCAGGGTCCGTCTAGACTTGTGACAGTGTTCTTGGGGACTGTCTCGAGATCCATTAAGCAAGTCGAAGCTCCTGACTTGTTTGATGGGGATCACGGGAATACTCTGCATGCACTGCAGGGAATCAGGACTCATCTCGCATCTAGGGGGAAGTCTCAAGGTTTCTCTCAAGTTGCGCGGGGGACCTGGGGTATCTACTCGAGTTACGGCGGGGATGGCCCCTCAACACCCGTGTTTATTCAGTGCCGTCAGGACTCCTGTCTAGTAACGAGGGACACCTCAGGAATCTCTTCGAGGCTTGGCAGGTCAAAAGGTATGCTTCTCGAGGTGAGGCAGGGCAACCAATGACCCTTTCCAGTAGCCACAGTGATTTTGGGATTCCTATCAATATTCAAGACGAGTCAGGCATCATCACCTTTTGAAGCAGTGAACTCCGCGTGCCTCTCGAAGTGTCAACTGGATGTGAGGCATTCCGTCAAAATGATGCAGGGACCTAGAGCTTTCTCTAAGGTCTCCACAGGGGATTCAGACATCCCTTCATGCTGTGAGATGAAAGACGAGCCTGTATCCAAGCCACTGCAAGGAAATCCGGCCTCCTTTCAAGTTAGGGCTTCTGGCTGTATATTCCACTTGAGGCAGCAAACTCGGGGTCCCTCCCAAATACCTATTGCTGAGAGAAGCCTCCTCTTGAGGTGCTTCTGGAAAGTTGGCATACGTCTTGAGCCTAAGCCATGGAATCAGCTCTCACCTCGAAACGATTTGGGGTACACGGAGCATTCCTCGAGTTGCTGTGCTGAAGATGGTGTTCCTCTAGACTTGGGACAGTGTTCTCAGGGCATCTCTGGAGTTGTCTGAAGGAAGTCAAGCCACTGGTGGTGTTTAATCTGGAACGGGGGATGGCTCTGGAGTCAATGCAGGGGAATCGGGCATTATCTCGAGTTGATGTGGGGCACATGGTGCTGCTTTGCGTTGATGGGGTGACCTCAGGATCCATCTCGACATGTGATAGTATCTTGGGGACTATCTCTAGATCCATTAAGCAAGTCGAAGGTCCTGACTTGTTTGATGGGGATCATGGAATTGCTCTGCATGCACTGCAGGAGAATCGGGCCTCATCTCGCCACTAGGGGAAAGTCTCATGGTTTTTCTCGACTTGCGGCGGGGACCTGGGGTATGTACTCGGCTTACGGCGGGGATGGCCCTTCAAAACTCGTGTTTATTCAGTGACGTCAGGACTCCTGTCCAGTAAGGAGGGACAGCTCAGGAATCTCTTCGAGGCTTGGCAGGGCCCAAGGGACGCTTCTCGAGGTGAGGCAGGGCACCCAAGGAACCTTTCCAATAGCCACAGGGATTTTGGGATTCCTATCAATATTTTAGAGGAGTCAGGCATCGTCACCTTTTGAAGCAGGGAACTCCGCGTGCCTCTCGAGGTGACAACGGGATGTGAGGCATTCCGTCAAAATGAGGCAGGGACCTATAGCTTTCTCTAAGGTCTCCACAGGGGATTCAGACATCCCTTCATTCTGTGAGATGAAAGACGAGCCTGTATTCAAGCCACTGCAAGGAAATCCGGCCTCCTTTCAAGTTAGGGCTTCTGGCTGTATATTCCACTTGAGGCAGCAAACTCGGGGTCCCTCCAACATACCAATTGCTGAGAGAAGCCTCCTCTTGAGGTGCTTCTGGAAAGTTGGCATACGTCTTGAGCCTAAGCCAGGAATTCAGCTTTCATCTCGAGACGATTTGTGGTACACGGAGCATTACTCGAGTTGCTGTGCTGAAGTTGGTGTTCCTCTAGTCTTGGGACAGTGTTCTCGGGGCATTTCTGGAGTTCCCTGAAGGAAGTCAAGCCACTGGTGGTGTTATTGGGTTACGGGGGATGGCTCTGGAGTCAATGCATGGGAATCGGGCCTCATCTCGAGTTGATGTGGGGTACTTGCAGCTGCTTTGCATTTCTGGGGTGAACTCAGGGTCTGTCTAGACTTGTGACAGTGTTCCTGGGGACTTTCTCGAGTTGATTTAAGCAAATCGAAGCTCCTGACTTGCTTGATGGGGATCACGGGAATGCTCTGCATGGACTGCAGGGAATCAGGCCTCATCTCGCATCTAGGGGAAGTCTCATGGTTTTACTCGAGTTGCGGCGGGAACTGGGGTATGTTCTCGAATTATGGCGGGGATGGCCCTTCAAAACACGTGTTTATTCAGTGACGTCAGGACTCCTGTCTAGTAACGAGAGACATCTCAGGAATCTCTTCGAGGCTTGGCAGGGCAAAAGGGATGCTTCTCGAGGTGAGGCAGGGCACCCAAGATCCCTGTCCTGTAGCCACAGTAATTTTGGGATTCCTATCAATGTTCAGGAGGAGTCAGGCATCGTCACATTTTGAAGCAGTGAACTCCGTGTGCCTCTCGAGGTGTCAACGGTATGTGAGGCATTCCGTCAATATGAGGCAGGGACCTAGGGCTTTCTCTAAGGTCTCCACAGGGGATTCAGACATTCCTTCCGGTTGTGAGATGAAAGACGAGCCTGTATTCAAGACACAGCAAGGAAATCCGGCCTCCTTTGAAGTTAGGGCTTCTCGCTGTATATTCCACTTGAGGCAGCAAACTGGGGGTCCCTCCAACATACCCATTGCTGAGAGAAGCCTCCCCTTGAGGTGCTTCTGGAAAGTTGGCATACGTCTTGAGCATAAGCCAGGGAATCAGCTCTCATCTTGAGATGATTTGGTGTACACGGAGCATTCATCGAGTTGCTGTGCTGAAGATGGTGTTCCTCTAGACTTGGGACAGTGTTCTCAGGGCATCTCTGGAGTTGTCTGAAGGAAGTCAAGCCACTGGTGGTGTTTAATCTGGAACGGGGGATGGCTCTGGAGTCAATGCAGGGGAATCGGGCATTATCTCGAGTTGATGTGGGGCACATGGTGCTGCTTTGCGTTGATGGGGTGACCTCAGGGTCCATCTAGACATGTGATAGTATCTTGGGGACTGTCTCTAGATCCATTAAGCAAGTCGAAGGTCCTGACTTGTTTGATGGGGATCATGGAATTGCTCTGCATGCACTGCAGGAGAATCGGGCCTCATCTCGCCACTAGGGGAAAGTCTCATGGTTTTTCTTGACTTGCGGCGGGGACCTGGGGTATGTACTCGGGTTACGGCGGGGATGGCCCTTCAAAACTCGTGTTTATTCAGTGACGTCAGGACTCCTGTCCAGTAACGAGGGACAGCTCAGGAATCTCTTCGAGGCTTGGCAGGGCAAAAGGGATGCTTCTCGAGGTGAGGCAGGGCACCCAAGAACCCTGTCCTGTAGGTACAGTGATTTTGGGATTCCTATCAATGTTCAGGAGGAGTCAGGCATCCTCAGCTTTTGAAGCAGTGAACTCTGCGTGACTCTCGAGGTGTCAACGGGATGTGAGGCATTACGTCAAAATGAGGCAGGGACCTAGGGCTTTCTCTAAGGTCTCCACAGGGGATTCAGACATCTCTTCCTGCTGTGAGATGAAAGACGAGCCTGTATTCAAGACACTGCTAGGAAACCGGCCTCCTTTCTAGTTAGTGCTTCTCGCTGTATATTCCATTTGAGGCAGCAAACTCGGGTTCCCTCCCACATACCTATTGCTGAGAGAAGCCTCCTCTTGAGGTGCTTCTGGAAAGTTGGCATACGTCTTGAGCCTAAGCCAGGGAATCAGCTCTCAACTCGAGAAGATTTGGCATACAGGAAGCATTCCTCGAGTTGCTGTGCTAAAGGAGGTTTTCCTCTAGACTTGGGACAGTGTTCTCGGGGCATCTCTGGAGTTGTCTGAAGGAGGTCAAGCCACTGGTGGTGTTTAATGCGGAACGGCAGATGGCTCTGGAGTCAATGCAGGGGAATCGGACCTCATCTCAAGTTGATTTGGGGCACATGGAGCTGCTTTGCGTTGCTGGGGATACCTCAGGGTCCGTCTAGACATGTGACAGTGTTCTTGGGGAATGTCTCGAGATCCATTAAGCAAGTCGAAGCTCCTGACTTGTTTGATGGGGATCAAGGAATTGCTCTGCATGCACTGCAGGAGAATCGGGCCTCATCTCGCTTCTAGGCGGAAGTCTCATGGTTTTTCTCGAGTTGCGGCAGGGACCTGGGGTATGTACTCGAGTTATGGCGGCGATGGCCCTTCAAAACACGTGTTTATTCAGTGACGTCAGTACTCCTGTCCAGTAACGAGGGACATCTCAGGAATCTCTGCGAGGCTTGCCGGGGCACAAGGGACGCTTCTCAAGATGAGGCAGGGCACCCAAGGAACCTTTCCAATAGCCACAGGGATTTTGGGATTCCTATCAATATTCAAGAGGAGTCAGGCATCGTCACCTTTTGAAGCAGTGAACTCCGCGTGCCTCTCGTGGTGTCAACGGGATGTGAGGCATTCCGTCACAATGAGGCAGGGACCTAGGGCTTTCTCTAAGGTCTTCACAGGGGATTCAGACAAACTTTCCTGTTGTGAGATGAAAGACGAGCCTGTATACAAGACACTGCAAAGAAATCCGGCCTCCTTTCAAGTTAGGGCTTCTCGCTGTATATTCCAGTTTAGGCAGCAAACTCGGGGTCCCACGAACATACGTATTGCTGAGAGAAGCCTCCTCTTGAGGTGCTTCTGGAAAGTTGGCATACGTCTTGAGCCTAAGCCACGGAATCAGCTCTCATCTCAAGACGATTTGTGGTACACGGGGCATTCCTCGAGTTGCTGGGCTGTAGTTCGTATTCCTCAAGACTTGGGACAGTGTTCTCGGGGCATCTCTGGAGTTGCCTGAAGGAAGTCAAGCCACTGGTGGTGTTTAATGGGGTACGGGGGATGGCTCTGGAGTCAATGCATGGGAATCGGGCCTCATCTCGAGTTGATGTGGGGTACTTGCAGCTGCTTTGCATTGCTGGGGTGACCTCAGGGTCTGTCTAGACTTGTGACAGTGTTCTTGGGGACTTTCTCGAGTTCAATTAAGCAAGTCGAAGCTCCTGACTTGCTTGATGGGGATCACAGGAATGCACTGCATGGACTGCAGGGAATCAGGCCTCATCTCGCATCTAGGGGAAGTCTCATGGTTTTTCTCTAGTTGCGGCGGGACCTGGGGTAAGTTCTCGAGTTATGGCGGGCATGGCCCTTGAAAACACGTGTTTATTCAGTGACGTCATGACTCCTGTCTAGTAATTAGGGACACCTCAGGATTCTCTTCGAGCCTTGGCAGGGCAAAAGGGATGCTTCTCGAGGTGAGGCAGGGCACACAAGAACCCTTTCCTGTAGCCACAGTGATTTTGGGATTCCTATCAATGATCAGGAGGGGTCAGGCATCGTCACATTTGAAGCAGTGAACTCCGCGTGACTCTCGAGGTGTCAACGGGATGTGAGGCATTCCGTCAAAATGAGGCAGGGACCTAGGGCTTTCTCTAAGGTCTCCACAGGGGATTCAGACATTCTTTCCTGTTGTGAGATGAAAGACGAGCCTGTATTCAAGACACTGCAAGGAAACCCGGCCTCCTTTCAAGTTAGGGCTTCTCGCTGCATATTCCACTGGAGGCAGCAAACTCGGGGTCCCTCCAACATATCTATTGCTGAGAGAAGCCTCCCCTTGAGGTGCTTCTGGAAAGTTGGCATACGTCTTGAGCCTAAGCCAGGGAATCAGCTCTCATCTCGAGACGATTTGGGGTACACGGAGCATTCCTCGAGTTGCTGTGCTGAAGATGGTGTTCCTCTAGACTTGGGACAGTGTTCTCAGGGCATCTCTGGAGTTGTCTGAAGGAAGTCAAGCCACTGCTCTTGTTTAATGGGGAACGGGGGATGGCTCTGGAGTCAATGCAGGGGAATCGGGCATTATCTCAAATTGATGTGGGGCACATGGTGCTGCTTTGCGTTGATGGGGTGACCTCAGGATCCGTCTAGACATGTGACAGTATTCTTGGGGACTGTCTCGAGATCCATTAAGCAAGTCGAAGGTCCTGACTTGTTTGATGGGGATCACGGAATTGCTCTGCATGCACTGCAGGAGAATCGGGCCTCATCTCGCCACTAGGGGAAAGTCTCATGGTTTTTCTCGACTTGCGGTGGGGACCTGGGGTATGTACTCGGGTTACGGCGGGGATGGCCCTTAAAAACACGTGTTTATTCAGTGACGTCATGACTCCTGTCCAATAACGAGGGACAGCTCAGGAATCTCTTCGAGGCTTGGCAGGCACAAGGGACGCTTCTCGAGGTGAGGCAGGACACCCAAGGAACCTTTCCAATAGCCACAAGGATTTTGGGATTCCTATCAATATTCAAGAGGAGTCAGGCATCGTCACCTTTTGAAGCAGTGAACTCCGCGTGCCTCTCGTGGTGTCAACGGGATGTGAGGCATTCCGTCACAATGAGGCAGGGACCTAGGGCTTTCTCTAAGGTCTTCACAGGGGATTCAGACATCCTTTCCTGTTGTGAGATGAAAGACGAGCCTGTATACAAGACGCTGCAAGGAAATCCGGCCTCCTTTCAAGTTAGGGCTTCTCGCTGTATATTCCACTTTAGGCAGCAAACTCGGGGTCCCACGAACATACCTATTGCTGAGAGAAGCCTCCTCTTGAGGTGCTTCTGGAAAGTTGGCATACGTCTTGAGCCTAAGCGAGGGAATCAGCTCTCATCTCGAGACGATTTGTGGTACACGGGGCATTCCTCGAGTTGCTGTGCTGAAGTTCGTATTCCTCAAGACTTGGGACAGTGTTCTCGGGGCATCTCTGGAGTTGCCTGAAGGAAGTCAAGCCACTGGTGGTGTTTAATGTGGAACGGGGGATGGCTCTGGAGTCAATGCAGGGTAATCGGGCATTATCTCGAATTGATTTGGGGCACATGGTGCTGCTTTGGGTTGATGGGGTGATCTCAGGATCCATCTAGACATGTGACAGTGTTCTTGGGGACTCTCTCGAGATCCATGTAGCAAGTCGAAGCTCCTGACTTGCTTGATGGGGATCACGGGAATGCTCTGCATGGACTGCAGGGAATCAGGCCTCATCTCGCATCTAGGGGAAGTCTCATGGTTTTTCTCTAGTTGCGGCGGGACCTGGGGTAAGTTCTCGAGTTATGGCGGGCATGGCCCTTGAAAACACGTGTTTATTCAGTGACGTCATGACTCCTGTCTAGTAATTAGGGACACCTCAGGATTCTCTTCGAGCCTTGGCAGGGCAAAAGGGATGCTTCTCGAGGTGAGGCAGGGCACACAAGAACCCTTTCCTGTAGCCACAGTGATTTTGGGATTCCTATCAATGATCAGGAGGGGTCAGGCATCGTCACATTTGAAGCAGTGAACTCCGCGTGACTCTCGAGGTGTCAACGGGATGTGAGGCATTCCGTCAAAATGAGGCAGGGACCTAGGGCTTTCTCTAAGGTCTCCACAGGGGATTCAGACATTCCTTCCTGTTGTGAGATGAAAGACGAGCCTGTATTCAAGACACTGCAAGGAAACCCGGCCTCCTTTCAAGTTAGGGCTTCTCGCTGCATATTCCACTGGAGGCAGCAAACTCGGGGTCCCTCCAACATATCTATTGCTGAGAGAAGCCTCCCCTTGAGGTGCTTCTGGAAAGTTGGCATACGTCTTGAGCCTAAGCCAGGGAATCAGCTCTCATCTCGAGACGATTTGGGGTACACGGAGCATTCCTCGAGTTGCTGTGCTGAAGATGGTGTTCCTCTAGACTTGGGACAGTGTTCTCAGGGCATCTCTGGAGTTGTCTGAAGGAAGTCAAGCCACTGCTCTTGTTTAATGGGGAACGGGGGATGGCTCTGGAGTCAATGCAGGGGAATCGGGCATTATCTCAAATTGATGTGGGGCACATGGTGCTGCTTTGCGTTGATGGGGTGACCTCAGGATCCGTCTAGACATGTGACAGTATTCTTGGGGACTGTCTCGAGATCCATTAAGCAAGTCGAAGGTCCTGACTTGTTTGATGGGGATCACGGAATTGCTCTGCATGCACTGCAGGAGAATCGGGCCTCATCTCGCCACTAGGGGAAAGTCTCATGGTTTTTCTCGACTTGCGGTGGGGACCTGGGGTATGTACTCGGGTTACGGCGGGGATGGCCCTTAAAAACACGTGTTTATTCAGTGACGTCATGACTCCTGTCCAATAACGAGGGACAGCTCAGGAATCTCTTCGAGGCTTGGCAGGCACAAGGGACGCTTCTCGAGGTGAGGCAGGACACCCAAGGAACCTTTCCAATAGCCACAAGGATTTTGGGATTCCTATCAATATTCAAGAGGAGTCAGGCATCGTCACCTTTTGAAGCAGTGAACTCCGCGTGCCTCTCGTGGTGTCAACGGGATGTGAGGCATTCCGTCACAATGAGGCAGGGACCTAGGGCTTTCTCTAAGGTCTTCACAGGGGATTCAGACATCCTTTCCTGTTGTGAGATGAAAGACGAGCCTGTATACAAGACGCTGCAAGGAAATCCGGCCTCCTTTCAAGTTAGGGCTTCTCGCTGTATATTCCACTTTAGGCAGCAAACTCGGGGTCCCACGAACATACCTATTGCTGAGAGAAGCCTCCTCTTGAGGTGCTTCTGGAAAGTTGGCATACGTCTTGAGCCTAAGCGAGGGAATCAGCTCTCATCTCGAGACGATTTGTGGTACACGGGGCATTCCTCGAGTTGCTGTGCTGAAGTTCGTATTCCTCAAGACTTGGGACAGTGTTCTCGGGGCATCTCTGGAGTTGCCTGAAGGAAGTCAAGCCACTGGTGGTGTTTAATGTGGAACGGGGGATGGCTCTGGAGTCAATGCAGGGTAATCGGGCATTATCTCGAATTGATTTGGGGCACATGGTGCTGCTTTGGGTTGATGGGGTGATCTCAGGATCCATCTAGACATGTGACAGTGTTCTTGGGGACTCTCTCGAGATCCATGTAGCAAGTCGAAGCTCCTGACTTGCTTGATGGGGATCACGGGAATGCTCTGCATGGACTGCAGGGAATCAGGCCTCATCTCGCATCTAGGGGAAGTCTCATGGTTTTACTCGAGTTGCGTCGGGAACTGGGGTATGTTCTCGAGTTATGGCGGGATGGCCGTTCAAAACACGTGTTTATTCAGTGACGTCAGGACTCCTGTCTAGTAACGAGAGACACCTCAGGAATCTCTTCGAGGCTTGGCAGGGCACAAGGGACGCTTCTAAAGGTGAGGCAGGGCACCCAAGGAACCTTTCCAATAGCCACAGGGATTTTGGGATTCCTATCAATATTTTAGAGGAGTCAGGCATCGTCACTTTTTGAAGCCGTGAACTCCGCGTGCCTCTCGAGGTGACAACGGGATGTGAGGCATTCCGTCAAAATGAGGCAGGGACCTATAGCTTTCTCTAAGGCCTCCACAGGGGATATTAGACATCCCTTCATTCTGTGAGATGAAAGACGAACCTTTATTCAAGCCACTGCAAGGAAATCCGGCCTCCTTTCAAGTTAGGGCTTCTCGCTGTATATTCCACTTGAGGCAGCAAACTGGGGGTCCCTCCAACATACCTATTGCTGAGAGAAGGCTCCCCTTGAGGTGCTTCTGGAAAGTTGGCATACGTCTTGAGCCCAAGCCAGGGAATCAGCTCTCATCTCGAGACGATTTGGGGTACACGGAGCATTCCTCGAGTTGCTGTGCTGAAGATGGTGTTCCTCTAGACTTGGGACAGTGTTCTCAGGGCATCTCTGGAGTTGCCTGAAGGAAGTCAAGCCACTGGTCGTGTTTAATGTGGAACGGGGGATGGCTCTGGAGTCAATGCATGGGAATCGGGCCTCATCTCGAGTTGATGTGGGGTACTTGCAGCTGCTTTGCATTGCTGGGGTGACCTCAGGGTCTGTCTAGACTTGTGACAGTGTTCCTGGGGACTTTCTCGAGTTGAATTAAGCAAGTCGAAGCTCCTGACTTGCTTGATGGGGATCACGGGAATGCTCTGCATGGACTGCAGGGAATCAGGCCTCATCTCGCATCCAGGGGAAGTCTCATGGTTTTACTCGAGTTGCGGCGGGAACTGGAGTATGTTCTCGAGTTATGGCGGGGATGGCCCTTCAAAACACGTGTTTATTCAGTGACGTCAGGACTCCTGTCTAGTAACGAGAGACACCTCAGGAATCTCTTCAAGGCTTGGCAGGGCAAAAGGGTTGCTTCTCGAGGTGAGGCAGGGCACCCAAGGACCCTGTCCTGTAGCTACAGTAATTTTGGGATTCCTATCAATGTTCAGGAGGAGTCAGGCATCGTCACATTTTGAAGCAGTGAACTCCGCGTGCCTCTCGAGGTGTCAACGGGATGTGAGGCATTCCGTCAAAATGAGGCAGGGACCTAGGGCTATCGCTAAGGTCTCCACAGGGGATTCAGACTTTCCTTCCGGTTGTGAGATGAAAGTCGAGCCTGTATTCAAGACACTGCAGGGAAACCCGGCCTCCTTTCAAGTTAAGGCTTCTCGCTGCATATTCCACTTGAGGCAGGAAACTGGGGGTCCCTCCAACATACCTATTGCTGAGAGAAGCCTCCCCTTGAGGTGCTTCTGGAAAGTTGGCATACGTCTTGAGCCTAAGCCAGGGATCAGCTCTCATCTCGAGACGATTTGGGGTACACGGAGCATTCCTCGAGTTGCTGTGCTGAAGATGGTGTTCCTCTAGACTTGGGACAGTGTTCTCAGGGCATCTCTGGAGTTGTCTGAAGGAAGTCAAGCCACTGGTGGTTTTTAATGTGGAACGGGGGATGGCTCTGGAGTCAATGCAGGGGAATCGGGCATTATCTCGAGTTGATGTGGGGCACATGGTGCTGCTTTGCGTTGATGGGGTGACCTCAGGATCCGTCTAGATATGTGACAGTATTCTTGGGGACTGTCTCGAGATCCATTAAGCAAGTCGAAGGTCCTGACTTGTTTGATGGGGATCACGGAATTGCTCTGCATGCACTGCAGGAGAATCGGGCCTCATCTCGCCAAGAGGGGAAAGTCTCATGGTTTTTCTCGACTTGCGGCGGGGACCTGGGTTATGTACTCGGGTTACGGCGGGTATGGCCCTTAAAAAGTCGTGTTTATTCAGTGACGTCAGGACTCCTGTCCAGTAACGAGGGACAGCTCAGGAATCTCTTCGAGGCTTGGCAGGCACAAGGGACGCTTCTCGAGGTGAGGCAGGGCACCCAAGGAACCTTTCAAATAGCCACAGGGATTTTGTGATTCCTATCAATATTCAAGAGGAGTCAGGCAACGTCAGCTTTTGGAGCAGTGGACTCCGCGTGACTCTCGAGGTGTCAACGGGATGTGAGGCATTCCGTCAAAATGAAGCAGGGACCTAGGGCTTTCTCTAAGGTCTCCACAGGGGATTCACACATCTCTTCCTGCTGTGAGATGAAAGACGAGCCTGTATTCAAGACACTGCTAGGAAACCGGCCTCCTTTCTAGTTAGTGCTTCTCGCTCTATATTCCCTTTGAGGCAGCAAACTCGGGTTCCCTCCCACATACCTATTGCTGAGAGAAGCCTCCTGTTGAGGTGCTTCTGGAAAGTTGGCATACGTCTTGAGCCTAAACCAGGGAATCAGCTCTCATCTCGAGAGGATTTGGCATACAGGAAGCATTCCTCGAGTTGCTGTGCTAAAGTAGGTGTTCCTGTAGACTTGGGACAGTGTTCTCGGGGCATCTCTGGAGTTGTCTGAAGGAGGTCAAGCCACTGGTGGTGTTTAATGCGGAACGGCAGATGGCTCTGGAGTCAATGCAGGGGAATCGGACCTCATCTCAAGTTGATTTGGGGCACATGGAGCTGCCTTGCGTTGCTGGGGATACCTCAGGGTCCGTCTAGACATGTGACAGTGTTCTTGGGGAATGTCTCGAGATCCATTAAGCAAGTCGAAGCCCCTGACTTGTTTGATGGGGATCACGGAATTGCTCTGCATGCACTGCAGGAGAATCGGGCCTTATCTCGCCTCTAGGCGGAAGTCTCATGGTTTTTCTCGAGTTGCGGCGGGGAACTGGGGTACGTACTCGAGTTACGGCGGGGATGGCCCTTCAAAACACGTGTTTATTCAGTGACGTCAGGACTCCTGTCTAGTAACGAGAGACACCTCAGGAATCTCTTCGAGGCTTGGCAGGGCAAAAGGGATGCTTCTCGAGGTCAGGCAGGGCACCGAAGAACCCTGTCCTGTAGCTACAGTGATTTTGGGATTCCTATCAATGTTCAGGAGGAGTCAGGCATCGTCACATTTTGAAGCAGTGAACTCCGTGTGCCTCTCGAGGTGTCAACGGGATGTGAGGCATTCCGTCAAAATGAGGCAGGGACCTAGGGCTTTCTCTAAGGTCTCCACAGGGGATTCAGACATTCCTTCCGGTTGTGAGATGAAAGACGAGCCTGTATTCAAGACACAGCAAGGAAATCCGGCCTCCTTTCAAGTTAGGGCTTCTCGCTGCATATTCCACTTGAGGCAGCAAACTGGGGGTCCCTCCAACATACCTATTGCTGAGAGAAGGCTCCCCTTGAGGTGCTTCTGAAAAGTTGGCATACGTCTTGAGCCTAAGCCAGGGATTCAGCTTTCATCTCGAGACGATTTGGGGTACACGGAGCATTCCTCGAGTTGCTGTGCTGAAGATGGTGTTCCTCTAGACTTGGGACAGTGTTCTCAGGTCATCTCTGGAGTTGCCTGAAGGAAGTCAAGACACTGGTTGTGTTTAATGTGGAACGGGGGATGGCTCTGGAGTCAATGCAGGGGAATCGGGCATTATCTCGAGTTGATTTGGGGCACATGGTGCTGCTTTGCATTGATGGGGTGACCTCAGGATCCGTCTAGACATGTGACAGTGTTCTTGGGGACTGTCTCGAGATCCATTAAGCAAGTCGAAGCTTCTGACTTGTTTGATGGGGATCACGGAATTGCTCTGCATGCACTGCAGGAGAATCGGGCCTCATCTCGCCTCTAGGGGAAAGTCTCATGGTTTTTCTCTACTTGCGGCGGGGACCTGGGGTATGTACTCGGCTTATGGCGGGGATGGCCCTTCAAAACTCGTGTTTATTCAGTGACGTCAGGACTCCTGTCCAGTAACGAGGGACAGCTCAGGAATCTCTTCGAGCCTTGGCAGGGCAAAAGGGTTGCTTCTCGAGGTGAGGCAGGGCACACAAGAACACTTTCCTGTAGCCACAGTGATTTTGGGATTCCTATCAATGATCAGGAGGGGTCAGGCATCGTCACATTTGAAGCAGTGAACTCCGCGTGCCTCTCGAGGTGTCAACGGGATGTGAGGCATTCCGTCAAAATGAGCCAGGGACCTAGGGCTTTCTCTAAGGTCTTCACAGGGGATTCAGACATCCCTTCCTGTTGTGAGATGAAAGACGAGCCTATATACAAGACACTGCAAGGAAATCCGGCCTCCATTCAAGTTAGGGCTTCTCGCTGTATATTCCACTTGAGGCAGCAAACTGGGGGTCCCTCCAACATACCTATTGCTGAGAGAAGGCTCCCCTTGAGGTGCTTTTGGAAAGTAGGCATCCGTCTTGAGCCTAAGCCAGGGAATCAGCTCTCATCTCGAGACGATTTGGGGTACACGGAGCATTCCTCGAGTTGCTGTGCTGAAGATGGTGTTCCTCTAGACTTGGGACAGTGTTCTCAGGGCATCTCTGGAGTTGCCTGAAGGAAGTCAAGCCACTGGTCGTGTTTAATGTGGAACGGGGGATGGCTCTGGAGTCAATGCAGGGGAATCGGGCATTATCTCGAGTTGATTTGGGGCACATGGTGCTGCATTGCATTGATGGGGTGACCTCAGGATCCATCTAGACATGTGACAGTGTTCTTGGGGACTGTCTCGAGATCCATTAAGCAAGTCGAAGCTCCTGACTTGCTTGATGGGGATCACGGGAATGCTCTGCATGGACTGCAGGGAATCAGGCCTCATCTCGCATCTAGGGGAAGTCTCATGGTTTTACTCGAGTTGCGGCGGGAACTGGCGTATGTTCTCGAGTTATGGCGGTGATGGCCCTTCAAAACACGTGTTTATTCAGTGACGTCAGGACTCCTGTCTAGTAACGAGAGACACCTCAGGAATCTCTTCGAGGCTTGGCAGGGCAAAAGGGATGCTTCTCGAGGTCAGGCAGGGCACCCAAGAACCCTGTCCTGTAGCTACAGTGATTTTGGGATTCCTATCAATGTTCAGGAGGAGTCAGGCATCGTCACATTTTGAGGCAGTGAACTCCGTGTGCCTCTCGAGGTGTCAACGGTATGTGAGGCATTCCGTTAAAATGAGGCAGGGACCTAGGGCTTTCTCTAAGGTCTCCACAGGGGATTCAGACATTCCTTCCGGTTGTGAGATGAAAGACGAGCCTGTATTCAAGACACAGCAAGAAAATCCGGCCTCCTTTCAAGTTAGGGCTTCTCGCTGTATATTCCACTTGAGGCAGCAAACTGGGGGTCCCTCCAACATTCCTATTGCTGAGAGAAGGCTCCCCTTGAGGTGCTTCTGGAAAGTTGGCATACGTCTTGAGCCTAAGCCATCGAATCAGCTCTCATCTCGAGACGATTTGGGGTACACGGAGCATTCCTCGAGTTGCTGGGCTGAAGATGGTGTTCCTCTAGACTTGGGACAGTGTTCTCAGGGCATCTCTGGAGTTGCCTGAAGGAAGTCAAGCCACTGGTCGTGTTTAATGTGGAACGGGGGATGGCTCTGGAGTCAATGCAGGGGAATCGGGCATTATCTCGAGTTGATTTGGGGCACATGGTGCTGCTTTGCGTTGATGGGGTGACCTCAGGATCCGTCTAGACATGTGACAGTGTTCCCTGGTGACTGTCTCGAGATCCATTAAGCAAGTCGAAGCTTCTGACTTGTTTGATGGGGATCTCGGAATTGCTCTGCATGCACTGCAGGAGAATCGGGCCTCATCTCGCCTCTAGGGGAAAGTCTCATGGTTTTACTCGAGTTGCGTCGGGAACTGGGGTATGTTCTCGAGTTATGGCGGGATGGCCCTTCAAAACTCGTGTTTATTCAGTGATGTCAGGACTCCTGTCCAGTAACGAGGAACAGCTCAGGAATCTCTTCGAGGCTTGGCAGGGCACAAGGGACGCTTCTCGAGGTGAGGCAGGGCACCCAAGGAACCTTTCCAATAGCCACAGGGATTTTGGGATTCCTATCAATATTTTAGAGGAGTCAGGCATCATCACATTTTGAAGCAGTGAACTCCGCATGCCTCTCTAGGTGACAACGGGATGTGAGGCATTCCGTCAAAATGAGGCAGGGACCTAGAGCTTTCTCTAAGGTCTCCACAGGGGATTCAGACATCCCTTCATTCTGTGAGATGAAAGACGAGCCTGTATTCAAGCCACTGCAAGGAAATCCGGCCTCCTTTCAAGTTAGGGCTTCTCGCTGTATATTCCACTTGAGGCAGCAAACTCGGGGTCCCTCCAACATACCTATTGCTGAGAGAAGCCTCCTCTTGAGGTGCTTCTGGAAAGTTGGCATACGTCTTGAGCCTAAGCCAGGGATTCAGCTCTCATCTCGAGACGATTTGTGGTACACGGAGCATTCCTCGAGTTGCTGTGCTGAAGTTGGTGTTCCTCTAGTCTTGGGAGAGTGTTTGCGGGGCATCTCTGGAGTTGCCTGAAGGAAGTCTAGCCAGTTGTCTTGTTTAATGGGGAACTGGGGATGGCTCTGGAGTCAATGCAGGGGAATCGGGCCACATCTCGGGTTGATTTGGGGCACATGGAGCTGCTTTGCGTTGCTGGGGTGACCTCAGGGTCCGTCTAGACTTGTGACAGTGTTCTTGGGGACTGTCTCGAGATCCATTAAGCAACTCGAAGCCCCTGACTTGTTTGATGGGGATCATGGGAATACTCTGCATGCACTGCAGGGAATCTGGACTCATCTCGCATCTAGGGGGAAGTCTCACGGTTTCTCTCAAGTTGCGCGGGGGACCTGGGGTATCTTCTCGAGTTACGGGGGGATGGCCCCTCAAAACCCGTGTTTATTCAGTGAAGTCAGGACTCCTGTCTCGTAACGAGGGACACCTCAGGAATCTCTTCGAGGCTTGGCAGGTCAAAAGGTATGCTTCTCGAGGTGAGGCAGGGCAACCAATGACCCTTTCCAGTAGCCACAGTGATTTTGGGATTCCTATCAATATTCAAGACGAGTCAGGCATCATCACCTTTTGAAGCAGTGAACTCCGCGTGCCTCTCGAAGTGTCAACTGGGTGTGAGGCATTCCGTCAAAATGATGCAGGGACCTAGAGCTTTCTCTAAGGTCTCCACAGGGGATTCAGACATCCCTTCATGCTGTGAGATGAAAGACGAGCCTGTATCCAAGCCACTGAAAGGAAATCCGGCCTCCTTTCAAGTTAGGGCTTCTGGCTGTATATTCCACTTGAGGCAGCAAACTCGGGGTCCCTCCCAAATACCTATTGCTGAGAGAAGCCTCCTCTTGAGGTGCTTCTGGAAAGTTGGCATACGTCTTGAGCCTAAGCCATGGAATCAGCTCTCACCTCGAAACGATTTGGGGTACACGGAGCATTCCTCGAGTTGCTGTGCTGAAGTTCGTATTCCTCTAGACTTGGGACAGTGTTCTCGGGGCATCTCTCGAGTTGCCTGAAGGAAGTCAAGCCACTGGTGGTGCTTAATGGGGTACGGGGGATGGCTCTGGAGTCAATGCATGGGAATCGGGCCTCAACGCGAGTTGATGTGGGGTACTTGGAGCTGCTTTGCGTTGCTGGGGTGATGTCAGGGTCTGTCTAGACTTGTGACAGTGTTCCTGGGGACTATCTCGAGATCCATTAAGCAATTCGAAGCTGCTGACTTGCTTGATTGGGATCACGGGAATGCTCTGCATGGACTGCAGGGAATCAGGCCTCATCTCGCATCTAGGGGAAGTCTCATGGTTTTTCTCGAGTTGCGGCGGGGACCTGGGGTATGTACTCGAGTTACGGCGGCGATGGCCCTTCAAAACACGTGTTTATTCAGTGACGTCAGGACTCCTGTCCAGTAACGAGGGACAGCTCAGGAATCTCTTCGAGGCTTGCCGGGGCACAAGGGACGCTTCTCGAGGTGAGGCAGGGCACCCAAGGAACCATTCCAATAGCCACAGGGATTTTGGGATTCCTATCAATATTCAAGAGGAGTCAGGCATCGTCACCTTTTGAAGCAGTGAACTCCGCGTGCCTCTCGTGGTGTCAACGGGATGTGAGGCATTCCGTCACAATGAGGCAGGGACCTAGGGCTTTCTCTAAGGTCTTCACAGGGGATTCAGACATCCTTTCCTGTTGTGAGATGAAAGACGAGCCTGTATACAAGACACTGCAAGGAAATCCGGCCTCCTTTCAAGTTAGGGCTTCTCGCTGTATATTCCACTTTAGGCAGCAAACTCGGGGTCCCACGAACATACCTATTGCTGAGAGAAGCCTCCTCTTGAGGTGCTTCTGGAAAGTTGGCATACGTCTTGAGCCTAAGCGAGGGAATCAGCTCTCATCTCGAGACGATTTGTGGTACACGGGGCATTCCTCGAGTTGCTGTGCTGAAGTTCGTATTCCTCAAGACTTGGGACAGTGTTCTTGGGGCATCTCTGGAGTTGCCTGAAGGAAGTCAAGCCACTGGTGGTGTTTAATGTGGAACGGGGGATGGCTCTGGAGTCAATGCAGGGTAATCGGGCATTATCTCGAGTTGATTTGGGGCACATGGTGCTGCTTTGGGTTGATGGGGTGATCTCAGGATCCATCTAGACATGTGACAGTGTTCTTGGGGACTCTCTCGAGATCCATGTAGCAAGTCGAAGCTCCTGACTTGCTTGATGGGGATCACGGGAATGCTCTGCATGGACTGCAGGGAATCAGGCCTCATCTCGCATCTAGGGGAAGTCTCATGGTTTTACTCGAGTTGCGTCGGGAACTGGGGTATGTTCTCGAGTTATGGCGGGATGGCCGTTCAAAACACGTGTTTATTCAGTGACGTCAGGACTCCTGTCTAGTAACGAGAGACACCTCAGGAATCTCTTCGAGGCTTGGCAGGGCACAAGGGACGCTTCTCGAGGTGAGGCAGGGCACCCAAGGAACCTTTCCAATAGCCACAGGGATTTTGGGATTCCTATCAATATTTTAGAGGAGTCAGGCATCGTCACTTTTTGAAGCCGTGAACTTCGCGTGCTTCTCGAGGTGACAACGGGATGTGAGGCATTCCGTCAAAATGAGTCAGGGACCTATAGCTTTCTCTACGGTCTCCACAGGGGATTCAGACATCCCTTCATTCTGTGAGATGAAAGACGAACCTTTATTCAAGCCACTGCAAGGAAATCCGGCCTCCTTTCAAGTTAGGGCTTCTCGCTGTATATTCCACTTGAGGCAGCAAACTGGGGGTCCCTCCAACATACCTATTGCTGAGAAAAGGCTCCCCTTGAGGTGCTTCTGGAAAGTTGGCATACGTCTTGAGCCTATGCCAGGGAATCAGCTCTCATCTCGAGACGATTTGGGGTACACGGAGCATTCCTCGAGTTGCTGTGCTGAAGATGGTGTTCCTCTAGACTTGGGACAGTGTTCTCAGGGCATCTCTGGAGTTGCCTGAAGGAAGTCAAGCCACTGGTCGTGTTTAATGTGGAACGGGGGATGGCTCTGGAGTCAATGCATGGGAATCGGGCCTCATCTCGAGTTGATGTGGGGTACTTGCAGCTGCTTTGCATTGCTGGGGTGACCTCAGGGTCTGTCTAGACTTGTGACAGTGTTCCTGGGGACTTTCTCGAGTTGAATTAAGCAAGTCGAAGCTCCTGACTTGCTTGATGGGGATCACGGGAATGCTCTGCATGGACTGCAGGGACTCAGGCCTCATCTCGCATCTAGGGGAAGTCTCATGGTTTTACTCGAGTTGCGGCGCGAACTGGGGTATGTTCTCGAGTTATGGCGGGGATGGCCCTTCAAAACACGTGTTTATTCAGTGACGTCAGGACTCCTGTCTAGTAACGAGAGACACCTCAGGAATCTCTTCGAGGCTTGGCAGGGCAAAAGGGTTGCTTCTCGAGGTGAGGCAGGGCACCCAAGGACCCTGTCCTGTAGCTACAGTAATTTTGGGATTCCTATCAATGTTCAGGAGGAGTCAGGCATCGTCACATTTTGAAGCAGTGAACTCCGCGTGCCTCTCGAGGTGTCAACGGGATGTGAGGCATTCCGTCAAAATGAGGCAGGGACCTAGGGCTATCGCTAAGGTCTCCACAGGGGATTCAGACTTTCCTTCCGGTTGTGAGATGAAAGTCGAGCCTGTATTCAAGACACTGCAGGGAAACCCGGCCTCCTTTCAAGTTAAGGCTTCTCGCTGCATATTCCACTTGAGGCAGGAAACTGGGGGTCCCTCCAACATACCTATTGCTGAGAGAAGCCTCCCCTTGAGGTGCTTCTGGAAAGTTGGCATACGTCTTGAGCCTAAGCCAGGGATCAGCTCTCATCTCGAGACGATTTGGGGTACACGGAGCATTCCTCGAGTTGCTGTGCTGAAGATGGTGTTCCTCTAGACTTGGGACAGTGTTCTCAGGGCATCTCTGGAGTTGTCTGAAGGAAGTCAAGCCACTGGTGGTGTTTAATCTGGAACGGGGGATGGCTCTGGAGTCAATGCAGGGGAATCGGGCATTATCTCGAGTTGATGTGGGGCACATGGTGCTGCTTTGCGTTGATGCGGTGACCTCAGGATCCGTCTAGATATGTGACAGTATTCTTGGGGACTGTCTCGAGATCCATTAAGCAAGTCGAAGGTCCTGACTTGTTTGATGGGGATCACGGAATTGCTCTGCATGCACTGCAGGAGAATCGGGCCTCATCTCGCCAAGAGGGGAAAGTCTCATGGTTTTTCTCGACTTGCGGCGGGGACCTGGGTTATGTACTCGGGTTACGTCGGGTATGGCCCTTAAAAACTCGTGTTTATTCAGTGACGTCAGGACTCCTGTCCAGTAACGAGGGACAGCTCAGGAATCTCTTCGAGGCTTGCAGGCACAAGGGACGCTTCTCGAGGTGAGGCAGGGCACCCAAGGAAACTTTCAAATAGCCACAGGGATTTTGTGATTCCTATCAGTATTCAAGAGGAGTCAGGCAACGTCAGCTTTTGGAGCAGTGGACTCCGCGTGACTCTCGAGGTGTCAACGGGATGTGAGGCATTCCGTCAAAATGAAGCAGGGACCTAGGGCTTTCTCTAAGGTCTCCACAGGGGATTCACACATCTCTTCCTGCTGTGAGATGAAAGACGAGCCTGTATTCAAGACACTGCTAGGAAACCGGCCTCCTTTCTAGTTAGTGCTTCTCGCTGTATATTCCCTTTGAGGCAGCAAACTCGGGTTCCCTCCCACATACCTATTGCTGAGAGAAGCCTCCTCTTGAGGTGCTTCTGGAAAGTTGGCATACGTCTTGAGCCTAAACCAGGGAATCAGCTCTCATCTCGAGAGGATTTGGCATACAGGAAGCATTCCTCGAGTTGCTGTGCTAAAGTAGGTGTTCCTGTAGACTTGGGACAGTGTTCTCGGGGCATCTCTGGAGTTGTCTGAAGGAGGTCAAGCCACTGGTGGTGTTTAATGCGGAACGGCAGATGGCTCTGGAGTCAATGCAGGGGAATCGGACCTCATCTCAAGTTGATTTGGGGCACATGGAGCTGCTTTGCGTTGCTGGGGTGACCTCAGGGTCCGTCTAGACTTGTGACAGTGTTCTTGGGGACTGTCTCGAGATCCATTAAGCAACTCGAAGCTCCTGACTTGTTTGATTGGGATCATGGGAATACTCTGAATGCACTGCAGGGAATCTGGACTCATCTCGCATCTAGGGGGAAGGCTCACGGTTTCTCTCAAGTTGCGCGGGGGACCTGGGGTATCTTCTCGAGTTACGGGGGGATGGCCCCTCAAAACCCGTGTTTATTCAGTGAAGTCAGGACTCCTGTCTCGTAACGAGGGACACCTCAGGAATCTCTTCGAGGCTTGGCAGGTCAAAAGGTATGCTTCTCGAGGTGAGGCAGGGCAACCAATGACCCTTTCCAGTAGCCACAGTGATTTTGGGATTCCTATCAATATTCAAGACGAGTCAGGCATCATCACCTTTTGAAGCAGTGAACTCCGCGTGCCTCTCGAAGTGTCAACTGGGTGTGAGGCATTCCGTCAAAATGATGCAGGGACCTAGAGCTTTCTCTAAGGTCTCCACAGGGGATTCAGACATCCCTTCATGCTGTGAGATGAAAGACGAGCCTGTATCCAAGCCACTGAAAGGAAATCCGTCCTCCTTTCAAGTTAGGGCTTCTCGCTGTATATTCCACTTGAGGCAGCAAACTCGGGGTCCCTCCCAAATACCTATTGCTGAGAGAAGCCTCCTCTTGAGGTGCTTCTGGAAAGTTGGCATACGTCTTGAGCCTAAGCCATGGAATCAGCTCTCACCTCGAAACGATTTGGGGTACACGGAGCATTCCTCGAGTTGCTGTGCTGAAGTTCGTATTCCTCTAGACTTGGGACAGTGTTCTCGGGGCATCTCTCGAGTTGCCTGAAGGAAGTCAAGCCACTGGTGGTGCTTAATGGGGTACGGGGGATGGCTCTGGAGTCAATGCATGGGAATCGGGCCTCAACGCGAGTTGATGTGGGGTACTTGGAGCTGCTTTGCGTTGCTGGGGTGATGTCAGGGTCTGTCTAGACTTGTGACAGTGTTCCTGGGGACTATCTCGAGATCCATTAAGCAATTCGAAGCTGCTGACTTGCTTGATTGGGATCACGGGAATGCTCTGCATGGACTGCAGGGAATCAGGCCTCATCTCGCATCTAGGGGAAGTCTCATGGTTTTTCTCGAGTTGCGGCGGGGACCTGGGGTATGTACTCGAGTTACGGCGGCGATGGCCCTTCAAAACACGTGTTTATTCAGTGACGTCAGGACTCCTGTCCAGTAACGAGGGACAGCTCAGGAATCTCTTCGAGGCTTGCCGGGGCACAAGGGACGCTTCTCGAGGTGAGGCAGGGCACCCAAGGAACCATTCCAATAGCCACAGGGATTTTGGGATTCCTATCAATATTCAAGAGGAGTCAGGCATCGTCACCTTTTGAAGCAGTGAACTCCGCGTGCCTCTCGTGGTGTCAACGGGATGTGAGGCATTCCGTCACAATGAGGCAGGGACCTAGGGCTTTCTCTAAGGTCTTCACAGGGGATTCAGACATCCTTTCCTGTTGTGAGATGAAAGACGAGCCTGTATACAAGACGCTGCAAGGAAATCCGGCCTCCTTTCAAGTTAGGGCTTCTCGCTGTATATTCCACTTTAGGCAGCAAACTCGGGGTCCCACGAACATACCTATTGCTGAGAGAAGCCTCCTCTTGAGGTGCTTCTGGAAAGTTGGCATACGTCTTGAGCCTAAGCGAGGGAATCAGCTCTCATCTCGAGACGATTTGTGGTACACGGGGCATTCCTCGAGTTGCTGTGCTGAAGTTCTTATTCCTCAAGACTTGGGACAGTGTTCTCGGGGCATCTCTGGAGTTGCCTGAAGGAAGTCAAGCCACTGGTGGTGTTTAATGTGGAACGGGGGATGGCTCTGGAGTCAATGCAGGGTAATCGGGCATTATCTCGAGTTGATTTGGGGCACATGGTGCTGCTTTGGGTTGATGGGGTGATCTCAGGATCCATCTAGACATGTGACAGTGTTCTTGGGGACTCTCTCGAGATCCATGTAGCAAGTCGAAGCTCCTGACTTGCTTGATGGGGATCACGGGAATGCTCTGCATGGACTGCAGGGAATCAGGCCTCATCTCGCATCTAGGGGAAGTCTCATGGTTTTACTCGAGTTGCGTCGGGAACTGGGGTATGTTCTCGAGTTATGGCGGGATGGCCGTTCAAAACACGTGTTTATTCAGTGACGTCAGGACTCCTGTCTAGTAACGAGAGACACCTCAGGAATCTCTTCGAGGCTTGGCAGGGCACAAGGGACGCTTCTCCAGGTGAGGCAGGGCACCCAAGGAACCTTTCCAATAGCCACAGGGATTTTGGGATTCCTATCAATATTTTAGAGGAGTCAGGCATCGTCACTTTTTGAAGCCGTGAACTCCGCGTGCCTCTCGAGGTGACAACGGGATGTGAGGCATTCCGTCAAAATGAGTCAGGGACCTATAGCTTTCTCTAAGGTCTCCACAGGGGATTCAGACATCCCTTCATTCTGTGAGATGAAAGACGAACCTTTATTCAAGCCACTGCAAGGAAATCCGGCCTCCTTTCAAGTTAGGGCTTCTCGCTGTATATTCCACTTGAGGCAGCAAACTGGGGGTCCCTCCAACATACCTATTGCTGAGAAAAGGCTCCCCTTGAGGTGCTTCTGGAAAGTTGGCATACGTCTTGAGCCTATGCCAGGGAATCAGCTCTCATCTCGAGACGATTTGGGGTACACGGAGCATTCCTCGAGTTGCTGTGCTGAAGATGGTGTTCCTCTAGACTTGGGACAGTGTTCTCAGGGCATCTCTGGAGTTGCCTGAAGGAAGTCAAGCCACTGGTCGTGTTTAATGTGGAACGGGGGATGGCTCTGGAGTCAATGCATGGGAATCGGGCCTCATCTCGAGTTGATGTGGGGTACTTGCAGCTGCTTTGCATTGCTGGGGTGACCTCAGGGTCTGTCTAGACTTGTGACAGTGTTCCTGGGGACTTTCTCGAGTTGAATTAAGCAAGTCGAAGCTCCTGACTTGCTTGATGGGGATCACGGGAATGCTCTGCATGGACTGCAGGGACTCAGGCCTCATCTCGCATCTAGGGGAAGTCTCATGGTTTTACTCGAGTTGCGGCGCGAACTGGGGTATGTTCTCGAGTTATGGCGGGGATGGCCCTTCAAAACACGTGTTTATTCAGTGACGTCAGGACTCCTGTCTAGTAACGAGAGACACCTCAGGAATCTCTTCGAGGCTTGGCAGGGCAAAAGGGTTGCTTCTCGAGGTGAGGCAGGGCACCCAAGGACCCTGTCCTGTAGCTACAGTAATTTTGGGATTCCTATCAATGTTCAGGAGGAGTCAGGCATCGTCACATTTTGAAGCAGTGAACTCCGCGTGCCTCTCGAGGTGTCAACGGGATGTGAGGCATTCCGTCAAAATGAGGCAGGGACCTAGGGCTATCGCTAAGGTCTCCACAGGGGATTCAGACTTTCCTTCCGGTTGTGAGATGAAAGTCGAGCCTGTATTCAAGACACTGCAGGGAAACCCGGCCTCCTTTCAAGTTAAGGCTTCTCGCTGCATATTCCACTTGAGGCAGGAAACTGGGGGTCCCTCCAACATACCTATTGCTGAGAGAAGCCTCCCCTTGAGGTGCTTCTGGAAAGTTGGCATACGTCTTGAGCCTAAGCCAGGGATCAGCTCTCATCTCGAGACGATTTGGGGTACACGGAGCATTCCTCGAGTTGCTGTGCTGAAGATGGTGTTCCTCTAGACTTGGGACAGTGTTCTCAGGGCATCTCTGGAGTTGTCTGAAGGAAGTCAAGCCACTGGTGGTGTTTAATCTGGAACGGGGGATGGCTCTGGAGTCAATGCAGGGGAATCGGGCATTATCTCGAGTTGATGTGGGGCACATGGTGCTGCTTTGCGTTGATGCGGTGACCTCAGGATCCGTCTAGATATGTGACAGTATTCTTGGGGACTGTCTCGAGATCCATTAAGCAAGTCGAAGGTCCTGACTTGTTTGTTGGGGATCACGGAATTGCTCTGCATGCACTGCAGGAGAATCGGGCCTCATCTCGCCAAGAGGGGAAAGTCTCATGGTTTTTCTCGACTTGCGGCGGGGACCTGGGTTATGTACTCGGGTTACGTCGGGTATGGCCCTTAAAAACTCGTGTTTATTCAGTGACGTCAGGACTCCTGTCCAGTAACGAGGGACAGCTCAGGAATCTCTTCGAGGCTTGCAGGCACAAGGGACGCTTCTCGAGGTGAGGCAGGGCACCCAAGGAAACTTTCAAATAGCCACAGGGATTTTGTGATTCCTATCAGTATTCAAGAGGAGTCAGGCAACGTCAGCTTTTGGAGCAGTGGACTCCGCGTGACTCTCGAGGTGTCAACGGGATGTGAGGCATTCCGTCAAAATGAAGCAGGGACCTAGGGCTTTCTCTAAGGTCTCCACAGGGGATTCACACATCTCTTCCTGCTGTGAGATGAAAGACGAGCCTGTATTCAAGACACTGCTAGGAAACCGGCCTCCTTTCTAGTTAGTGCTTCTCGCTGTATATTCCCTTTGAGGCAGCAAACTCGGGTTCCCTCCCACATACCTATTGCTGAGAGAAGCCTCCTCTTGAGGTGCTTCTGGAAAGTTGGCATACGTCTTGAGCCTAAACCAGGGAATCAGCTCTCATCTCGAGAGGATTTGGCATACAGGAAGCATTCCTCGAGTTGCTGTGCTAAAGTAGGTATTCCTGTAGACTTGGGACAGTGTTCTCGGGGCATCTCTGGAGTTGTCTGAAGGAGGTCAAGCCACTGGTGGTGTTTAATGCGGAACGGCAGATGGCTCTGGAGTCAATGCAGGGGAATCGGACCTCATCTCAAGTTGATTTGGGGCACATGGAGCTGCTTTGCGTTGCTGGGGATACCTCAGGGTCCGTCTAGACATGTGACAGTGTTCTTGGGGAATGTCTCGAGATCCATTAAGCAAGTCGAAGCCCCTGACTTGTTTGATGGGGATCACGGAATTGCTCTGCATGCACTGCAGGAGAATCGGGCCTTATCTCGCCTCTAGGCGGAAGTCTCATGGTTTTTCTCGAGTTGCGGCGGGGAACTGGGGTATGTACTCGAGTTACGGCGGGGATGGCCCTTCAAAACACGTGTTTATTCAGTGACGTCAGGACTCCTGTCTAGTAACGAGAGACACCTCAGGAATCTCTTCGAGGCTTGGCAGGGCAAAAGGGATGCTTCTCGAGGTCAGGCAGGGCACCCAAGAACCCTGTCCTGTAGCTACAGTGATTTTGGGATTCCTATCAATGTTCAGGAGGAGTCAGGCATCGTCACATTTTGAAGCAGTGAACTCCGTGTGCCTCTCGAGGTGTCAACGGGATGTGAGGCATTCCGTCAAAATGAGGCAGGGACCTAGGGCTTTCTCTAAGGTCTCCACAGGGGATTCAGACATTCCTTCCGGTTGTGAGATGAAAGACGAGCCTGTATTCAAGACACAGCAAGGAAATCCGGCCTCCTTTCAAGTTAGGGCTTCTCGCTGCATATTCCACTTGAGGCAGCAAACTGGGGGTCCCTCCAACATACCTATTGCTGAGAGAAGGCTCCCCTTGAGGTGCTTCTGAAAAGTTGGCATACGTCTTGAGCCTAAGCCAGGGATTCAGCTTTCATCTCGAGACGATTTGGGGTACACGGAGCATTCCTCGAGTTGCTGTGCTGAAGATGGTGTTCCTCTAGACTTGGGACAGTGTTCTCAGGTCATCTCTGGAGTTGCCTGAAGGAAGTCAAGACACTGGTTGTGTTTAATGTGGAACGGGGGATGGCTCTGGAGTCAATGCAGGGGAATCGGGCATTATCTCGAGTTGATTTGGGGCACATGGTGCTGCTTTGCGTTGATGGGGTGACCTCAGGATCCGTCTAGACATGTGACAGTGTTCTTGGGGACTGTCTCGAGATCCATTAAGCAAGTCGAAGCTTCTGACTTGTTTGATGGGGATCACGGAATTGCTCTGCATGCACTGCAGGAGAATCGGGCCTCATCTCGCCTCTAGGGGAAAGTCTCATGGTTTTTCTCGACTTGCGGCGGGGACCTGGGGTATGTACTCGGCTTATGGCGGGGATGGCCCTTCAAAACTCGTGTTTATTCAGTGACGTCAGGACTCCTGTCCAGTAACGAGGGACAGCTCAGGAATCTCTTCGAGCCTTGGTAGGGCAAAAGGGTTGCTTCTCGAGGTGAGGCAGGGCACACAAGAACACTTTCCTGTAGCCACAGTGATTTTGGGATTCCTATCAATGATCAGGAGGGGTCAGGCATCGTCACATTTGAAGCAGTGAACTCCGCGTGCCTCTCGAGGTGTCAACGGGATGTGAGGCATTCCGTCAAAATGAGGCAGGGACCTAGGGCTTTCTCTAAGGTCTTCACATGGGATTCAGACATCCCTTCCTGTTGTGAGATGAAAGACGAGCCTATATACAAGACACTGCAAGGAAATCCGGCCTCCATTCAAGTTAGGGCTTCTCGCTGTATATTCCACTTGAGGCAGCAAACTGGGGGTCCCTCCAACATACCTATTGCTGAGAGAAGGCTCCCCTTGAGGTGCTTTTGGAAAGTTGGCATCCGTCTTGAGCCTAAGCCAGGGAATCAGCTCTCATCTCGAGACGATTTGGGGTACACGGAGCATTCCTCGAGTTGCTGTGCTGAAGATGGTGTTCCTCTAGACTTGGGACAGTGTTCTCAGGGCATCTCTGGAGTTGCCTGAAGGAAGTCAAGCCACTGGTCGTGTTTAATGTGGAACGGGGGATGGCTCTGGAGTCAATGCAGGGGAATCGGGCATTATCTCGAGTTGATTTGGGGCACATGGTGCTGCTTTGCATTGATGGGGTGACCTCAGGATCCATCTAGACATGTGACAGTGTTCTTGGGGACTGTCTCGAGATCCATTAAGCAAGTCGAAGCTCCTGACTTGCTTGATGGGGATCACGGGAATGCTCTGCATGGACTGCAGGGAATCAGGCCTCATCTCGCATCTAGGGGAAGTCTCATGGTTTTACTCGAGTTGCGGCGGGAACTGGCGTATGTTCTCGAGTTATGGCGGTGATGGCCCTTCAAAACACGTGTTTATTCAGTGACGTCAGGACTCCTGTCTAGTAACGAGAGACACCTCAGGAATCTCTTCGAGGCTTGGCAGGGCACAAGGGACGCTTCTCGAGGTGAGGCAGGGCACCCAAGGAACCTTTCCAATAGCCACAGGGATTTTGGGATTCCTATCAATATTTTAGAGGAGTCAGGCATCGTCACTTTTTGAAGCCGTGAACTCCGCGTGCCTCTCGAGGTGACAACGGGATGTGAGGCATTCCGTCAAAATGAGGCAGGGACCTATAGCTTTCTCTAAGGTCTCCACAGGGGATTCAGACATCCCTTCATTCTGTGAGATGAAAGACGAACCTTTATTCAAGCCACTGCAAGGAAATCCGGCCTCCTTTCAAGTTAGGGCTTCTCGCTGTATATTCCACTTGAGGCAGCAAACTGGGGGTCCCTCCAACATACCTATTGCTGAGAAAAGGCTCCCCTTGAGGTGCTTCTGGAAAGTTGGCATACGTCTTGAGCCTATGCCAGGGAATCAGCTCTCATCTCGAGACGATTTGGGGTACACGGAGCATTCCTCGAGTTGCTGTGCTGAAGATGGTGTTCCTCTAGACTTGGGACAGTGTTCTCAGGGCATCTCTGGAGTTGCCTGAAGGAAGTCAAGCCACTGGTCGTGTTTAATGTGGAACGGGGGATGGCTCTGGAGTCAATGCATGGGAATCGGGCCTCATCTCGAGTTGATGTGGGGTACTTGCAGCTGCTTTGCATTGCTGGGGTGACCTCAGGGTCTGTCTAGACTTGTGACAGTGTTCCTGGGGACTTTCTCGAGTTGAATTAAGCAAGTCGAAGCTCCTGACTTGCTTGATGGGGATCACGGGAATGCTCTGCATGGACTGCAGAGACTCAGGCCTCATCTCGCCTCTAGGGGAAGTCTCATGGTTTTACTCGAGTTGCGGCGCGAACTGGGGTATGTTCTCGAGTTATGGCGGGGATGGCCCTTCAAAACACGTGTTTATTCAGTGACGTCAGGACTCCTGTCTAGTAACGAGAGACACCTCAGGAATCTCTTCGAGGCTTGGCAGGGCAAAAGGGTTGCTTCTCGAGGTGAGGCAGGGCACCCAAGGACCCTGTCCTGTAGCTACAGTAATTTTGGGATTCCTATCAATGTTCAGGAGGAGTCAGGCATCGTCACATTTTGAAGCAGTGAACTCCGCGTGCCTCTCGAGGTGTCAACGGGATGTGAGGCATTCCGTCAAAATGAGGCAGGGACCTAGGGCTATCGCTAAGGTCTCCACAGGGGATTCAGACTTTCCTTCCGGTTGTGAGATGAAAGTCGAGCCTGTATTCAAGACACTGCAGGGAAACCCGGCCTCCTTTCAAGTTAAGGCTTCTCGCTGCATATTCCACTTGAGGCAGGAAACTGGGGGTCCCTCCAACATACCTATTGCTGAGAGAAGCCTCCCCTTGAGGTGCTTCTGGAAAGTTGGCATACGTCTTGAGCCTAAGCCAGGGGTCAGCTCTCATCTCGAGACGATTTGGGGTACACGGAGCATTCCTCGAGTTGCTGTGCTGAAGATGGTGTTCCTCTAGACTTGGGACAGTGTTCTCAGGGCATCTCTGGAGTTGTCTGAAGGAAGTCAAGCCACTGGTGGTGTTTAATCTGGAACGGGGGATGGCTCTGGAGTCAATGCAGGGGAATCGGGCATTATCTCGAGTTGATGTGGGGCACATGGTGCTGCTTTGCGTTGATGCGGTGACCTCAGGATCCGTCTAGATATGTGACAGTATTCTTGGGGACTGTCTCGAGATCCATTAAGCAAGTCGAAGGTCCTGACTTGTTTGATGGGGATCACGGAATTGCTCTGCATGCACTGCAGGAGAATCGGGCCTCATCTCGCCAAGAGGGGAAAGTCTCATGGTTTTTCTCGACTTGCGGCGGGGACCTGGGTTATGTACTCGGGTTACGTCGGGTATGGCCCTTAAAAACTCGTGTTTATTCAGTGACGTCAGGACTCCTGTCCAGTAACGAGGGACAGCTCAGGAATCTCTTCGAGGCTTGCAGGCACAAGGGACGCTTCTCGAGGTGAGGCAGGGCACCCAAGGAAACTTTCAAATAGCCACAGGGATTTTGTGATTCCTATCAGTATTCAAGAGGAGTCAGGCAACGTCAGCTTTTGGAGCAGTGGACTCCGCGTGACTCTCGAGGTGTCAACGGGATGTGAGGCATTCCGTCAAAATGAAGCAGGGACCTAGGGCTTTCTCTAAGGTCTCCACAGGGGATTCACACATCTCTTCCTGCTGTGAGATGAAAGACGAGCCTGTATTCAAGACACTGCTAGGAAACCGGCCTCCTTTCTAGTTAGTGCTTCTCGCTGTATATTCCCTTTGAGGCAGCAAACTCGGGTTCCCTCCCACATACCTATTGCTGAGAGAAGCCTCCTCTTGAGGTGCTTCTGGAAAGTTGGCATACGTCATTAGCCTAAACCAGGGAATCAGCTCTCATCTCGAGAGGATTTGGCATACAGGAAGCATTCCTCGAGTTGCTGTGCTAAAGTAGGTGTTCCTGTAGACTTGGGACAGTGTTCTCGGGGCACCTCTGGAGTTGTCTGAAGGAGGTCAAGCCACTGGTGGTGTTTAATGCGGAACGGCAGATGGCTCTGGAGTCAATGCAGGGGAATCGGACCTCATCTCAAGTTGATTTGGGGCACATGGAGCTGCTTTGCGTTGCTGGGGATACCTCAGGGTCCGTCTAGACATGTGACAGTGTTCTTGGGGAATGTCTCGAGATCCATTAAGCAAGTCGAAGCCCCTGACTTGTTTGATGGGGATCACGGAATTGCTCTGCATGCACTGCAGGAGAATCGGGCCTTATCTCGCCTCTAGGCGGAAGTCTCATGGTTTTTCTCGAGTTGCGGCGGGGAACTGGGGTATGTACTCGAGTTACGGCGGGGATGGCCCTTCAAAACACGTGTTTATTCAGTGACGTCAGGACTCCTGTCTAGTAACGAGAGACACCTCAGGAATCTCTTCGAGGCTTGGCAGGGCAAAAGGGATGCTTCTCGAGGTCAGGCAGGGCACCCAAGAACCCTGTCCTGTAGCTACAGTGATTTTGGGATTCCTATCAATGTTCAGGAGGAGTCAGGCATCGTCACATTTTGAAGCAGTGAACTCCGTGTGCCTCTCGAGGTGTCAACGGGATGTGAGGCATTCCGTCAAAATGAGGCAGGGACCTAGGGCTTTCTCTAAGGTCTCCACAGGGGATTCAGACATTCCTTCCGGTTGTGAGATGAAAGACGAGCCTGTATTCAAGACACAGCAAGGAAATCCGGCCTCCTTTCAAGTTAGGGCTTCTCGCTGCATATTCCACTTGAGGCAGCAAACTGGGGGTCCCTCCAACATACCTATTGCTGAGAGAAGGCTCCCCTTGAGGTGCTTCTGAAAAGTTGGCATACGTCTTGAGCCTAAGCCAGGGATTCAGCTTTCATCTCGAGACGATTTGGGGTACACGGAGCATTCCTCGAGCTGCTGTGCTGAAGATGGTGTTCCTCTAGACTTGGGACAGTGTTCTCAGGTCATCTCTGGAGTTGCCTGAAGGAAGTCAAGACACTGGTTGTGTTTAATGTGGAACGGGGGATGGCTCTGGAGTCAATGCAGGGGAATCGGGCATTATCTCGAGTTGATTTGGGGCACATGGTGCTGCTTTGCGTTGATGGGGTGACCTCAGGATCCGTCTAGACATGTGACAGTGTTCTTGGGGACTGTCTCGAGATCCATTAAGCAAGTCGAAGCTTCTGACTTGTTTGATGGGGATCACGGAATTGCTCTGCATGCACTGCAGGAGAATCGGGCCTCATCTCGCCTCTAGGGGAAAGTCTCATGGTTTTTCTCGACTTGCGGCGGGGACCTGGGGTATGTACTCGGCTTATGGCGGGGATGGCCCTTCAAAACTCGTGTTTATTCAGTGACGTCAGGACTCCTGTCCAGTAACGAGGGACAGCTCAGGAATCTCTTCGAGCCTTGGTAGGGCAAAAGGGTTGCTTCTCGAGGTGAGGCAGGGCACACAAGAACACTTTCCTGTAGCCACAGTGATTTTGGGATTCCTATCAATGATCAGGAGGGGTCAGGCATCGTCACATTTGAAGCAGTGAACTCCGCGTGCCTCTCGAGGTGTCAACGGGATGTGAGGCATTCCGTCAAAATGAGGCAGGGACCTAGGGCTTTCTCTAAGGTCTTCACATGGGATTCAGACATCCCTTCCTGTTGTGAGATGAAAGACGAGCCTATATACAAGACACTGCAAGGAAATCCGGCCTCCATTCAAGTTAGGGCTTCTCGCTGTATATTCCACTTGAGGCAGCAAACTGGGGGTCCCTCCATCATACCTATTGCTGAGAGAAGGCTCCCCTTGAGGTGCTTTTGGAAAGTTGGCATCCGTCTTGAGCCTAAGCCAGGGAATCAGCTCTCATCTCGAGACGATTTGGGGTACACGGAGCATTCCTCGAGTTGCTGTGCTGAAGATGGTGTTCCTCTAGACTTGGGACAG